GTCTTACCTACATGGGATTTTATTCACTGTAAAGTCATTTTTTTAATGAAGTGCCCCTCTTGAAGGGTAGCCTTGGTATAGGTTTTGTCTTGCAAATAACTGATGTACTGAGGTCTATCCATTTCAGCACAGGAACAATCTAAGCTTTGATAGTAGCAATTGGCAGGATTGGGTCCAACAGTTTTCAATATTATTTTGAAGTATAATAAATTTGCTGGTTTTTCTCTATGTGTTTAAGCAGTCATTGATATGACATATGAGAGCATTTAGACATACAAGTTTTTGCTGGAACTGTGGATACTTTTATTTTCAACAGCAACTAAAAGGCTGGTTAGCTCAATGTTCTCTGAATAGTGTTCACATAATAGCTATTTGGCACTGTGTGTATTTGCGTGAAAAGACAATTGATGATATTTTTAGGATTAACAAAACAGCTCTTCTTAAGCACATCCTTTTAGAAAAATTGGCTGTATTTGTCTTGCTCAAAATCTCAACCTAAAAGCTTTTATTATTGTTAAGTCAAGCTCTTACACAGCTAATGATTAGTAGAAATATTTCTGGAACTTTGTTTTTACTTTATTGCCAGTCATATTTGATTTTAAACGTAAATGTTCTCAGCTTTGTTTCATCCTCATTCCTTTTCTCTTCCTCCCTTCTGCTGCTGTCTTTGGTGATTGTGTTGGTTACCACCCATTGCCTAAGTGTTCTTTCTGTATACCATTTTCTGCACCCAGATGTTTATGTACTAAAACAGATTGTGGTCTTTGCCTTTTCCCTGGGTAACACTATGACATCTGTATTTAGGTTTTTGCTGCTGCTGTTGCTTTCAAGTGTGTGCTGCCATCTATGGAGTAATCATAGAAATAAAGCTGGTATACAAAAGATGTTTTATCAGAAGATCATGGAAAACAAGATATAGATAGTGGAGGAGGCATCGTAGAGCAGTTGGCCAGATCTCCAAAAATCCTGTTTCTTTGTAGTCCCAGATGTCACAGCAAGCACGAGTGAAAGTACACCTTTTAGAAAATTAATTATTTCTTGTAATGAAATTATTCAGTTGTTTTCTTTAAATCAGAATAAATTTGCTTTGTCCTTCAATCTGGTAACTCATTCCTTTTTCTTTTCCTTCCCCATTACCTTTCACATGTCCTAGTTACTTAGCAGTTTCCAAGATCTGTTTACTATATGGTTCCTAATTTGTTTTTCAAAGTTTAATTTTAATTCCTTATCTTTCCCCAGTATCTTGTTAACTGACTTTATGCCTCTCCTCAGTGTTTAGCTTCAGCCTGACAAGTTCCAGGTTTCCCTCCTTCAGATCCCTTCAGAATGCATTACTGAAGATTAGTCCCCATTCTGTCTCTCTTTCATAACATTTTGTTCCTTGATATCTATTTTAGAGTGTACATTTATTGCAACACATCTATTCAAGATGGTCTGAAGAGCACTTGGAGAAGTAATTTTCTTTGTACTGGGGTATCCATACACGTAGGAAAGCTACCACTTTTGTCTTGATGCTGTTTGTGTGCATTCAGCTTGCAGAATTTTGACTAAGGATTTCAGCATCTCACAACCTTGAATAGGGTTAGGTGTATGAATTCCTGACAATCAGTCTCCTATTCATTTCAGCTAAATGTGGTAAATAGCAACTATGTCTTTAGGTCTTTCCCCAGCAAAAAAGAGTGTTGGAGTGGGTGTATATTTAACCACTACTTCTTAAATGCTTTCTTATAACACAAGGCATTAGAATCAAAAGGAAAAGTTTAACCTATGTGGATAAAGCATTTTTAAAAATATCTTCTGACATTTTCTTCTTATTGCTGAACTCTAAAAATTGATTTTATTTTCCAGCATCAAAACAAAATGAAGGAAAAAAAATCGATGCTGAAGATTGATCAATGTTTTTCAAAACTGACTTAATAAGATAAAAATCAATGCAGCTGTATTATTTGTCATTCTTTCATCACCAGGAACATTCAAACATGGTAATATTTGATTCTTAAGTTAAATGTGAAAATATTTCTGTTACCTCCTACGGAGGCAAAAAATAAAAAAAATATATAAGGAGGGATTTATTTAGTCAAAGTTCAGCTTTCTTTTTAAACTTAGTTTTGGAAATTTGAGTTCTGCAGAAACTGAAAACAGTTTGATATTTTAAGTGACAATATATAATTATTGCTTTAATCACACAGACTTAAATAGAACAAATTATTACTTGTATTTGCAAATTACAAGTTCTGATCCTCCCTTCCTCCTGCAAACAACAGTTCCATCTTGCTTGGTTGAGAGATCTGTACTCAAAAAAATGGAAATAAGCTTGGGAACTGAATCTCCCTCATGACAGGTTCACAGTGCTTTGAATTTAGAGCTTTACTGTACAAATGCACTGGCTGATTAACGTTTTTTTGGCAAAAATGAGTGGGTTATTTGTAATTTGTTTGCTTGCTTGTATTTTTCCAACATTCATTTCCCTTTTCTGCTCCCACTATCCCCAGTAATATTAAGATCCCTTATTGATTTATTTAAAGAAAAGCCTTAGAAACTGATTTCTGTTATATTATTGAACCAAGCCCTAAAACATAAGTTTGGCCTGACAGTTGAGAGGATTTTTTTAAAAAAATTATTTGCATTTCAGTATTTCCATTCACCTACCTTCTGACTTGGGTTTAGGCATTTAGGCTCCCTATTTGAAATTCCTCTTAACAACTGAGTGATAGAAAATGTCCTTTTAGGGAGGAAAATCATTGTGCTCACATAATCACTGGAACGTGTGAACTGGGATTTTTGTGAAGTATCAGGCATTGAAAGATTACTAATAAAATCCTAGATATTGGTGAGCCTCTGGTGTTGGCATCTTTTGTTTTAAAGATTTATTTCATGAGCACAGGAAGACAACTATCTGCATAAATTTCTACTGAATTGATTCCCTATCTGCAAGCTGGGGCAGATTGTCATAAAATAGAAAATGCAAACCTGGTAGTAGTTAGACACAGACTTTGAGAATATGGAACTTAATCAGGTTCTCTGTGAGGGCTAGCTACTTTCTCATCTGCTTTTCATATTCCTTTACTGATTGACTAATATGGTAGTTTGCTCCTCTCCTCCAGCAGCTCTGAGCAGCTATATGTATGTTCATTAGGTTCAGACAGTCCCACCCCTTCATCTCTCACTCATCATCAGCTTCATGATCCACAATGTCTGTAATCACACAATGAGAGAGCTTGTACTTGCAACTCTCCTCTTCCTTTCCTCCTCCCTCCATGCTGTGAGAGAGAGGTGGCATGGCATATTGCATAGCTAAAACCTTACCAAGCCTGAATTTGTTACACCTCTGAATTTGGCAGGCAAGCATTCACAACCACTACACATATATACATGGCTCATCACCACGTGAAGCTGGACACCCTGAGAAGACAGATAATATTGGATGGGTTTTCTTCTTGCTCTGCAAACAATCAAATAGACTTAAGCTATGCAATCTGATATTCCCTAATTGACAGCTCTTCCAAGGTTCATTTGTTAACTGAGAGCATGACATGTATTGATGTTGTTTCTTCATAATGCATTTGGCATTAACAGGAGAAGCTGTTGAATGCCTCAGACATGAATGTCTCAGCAAGAAGAGATTTTGCCTACAGTTTTGACTTTCTAACTAGTGACTTTGTATTTGCAAGAGCACGTGAAATGAGCATAGGACAGGACAGAGCAGCAGAAAGAAGCTTAAATGCATTATCCTAAGAAAATTTGTGGGACTATTTTTGCTGCTTGGGACATTTAGTTGACTTTTATGGTTCAACTGTTCTTCATTTCTTTTGATATAAAACTTTGGTTTCTTGCTTAACAAAGTGTTCACTGAATACTCATAGGGCTTCAGAGGCTATATATTTATAAATAGGCCTATCTGATTTTATTTATAGTGATTAAGAATTTGTGTGTAAAAGACATGCTCAAGAGTTTTGCTTGCCTGCATCCACAAGAGAATAAAATAAAACGCAAAAAAATCCTCTATTTCAAAGACGCTTCTCCCTGGAAGCCCAGGTTTATTTGAAGGAATAAATTATCTGTGTAGAAGAGACCAGAGGATGATTTCTCCACTGATCTTGTCACTACTTTTCATTTGCTGCTTTCTTGTAGCTAGTTTCCATAAACACTTTCTTAGTTTCTTAGAATACAGATTGTGCTAGAACTGTAATACTCAGCACTTTTCATTCTGTTAAAGATTTCCACTATCTACTCTTCCTTGTAACTGTTCATGGGATGTTCACACAGGAGCTGTAAGTGCTAATTAAGAGATTTTTCGCAAACATATCATCATTAATAGCTGTTGCTTCTCCTGCATCCATGAATATTTTAGTTACTAGATTAATTTATATTGGATGTAAAAAAATGTTTTAATTTCAGCTTTTTCATTATTTGGTGTAAGCAGGTTACTCTAAATATTTAGGTTAATTTCTCTAGTACCTAGTTAAATTTCTGCATGTATTCCTCCTTCTGGGTAGAGTACATGCCTGGAGAAGTACATGAAATTTTACAGATGTTGTCAAAATAATTGAAGTGCTTCAGTGGTGCTTTGACTAGCACTGTTTAGGAAGTGAAACACAGCTGTTTAGATGAGGAAAAAACATGTGAATGGATAAGGATGCCTTCTTTTCACAGGATTAAAGAACCTAGGTTTGACAGAAGCCCTTCTGTCATTCAAATCTATTCAAATCTATTCAAATCACGTCTATTCAAATAATGACAGGAAAGAATGAGGAAAGCTACATTCTGCTTAGGAAAACCTAGAAACAAACTTTTGAAAGCCCTAAGGTCTGGAACCTAAGCACACATCTCTCCTCCCTCTGTAAACATCAGTGCCCTGACTTCCTACTGCAACCAATTATTCGTGAGCCCTTGGGGGACATTCTGGAGCTGTCTCCAAGTACCTCCTCTTTTTTTTGCAAGGTCTGTGATCAAATGCCATTTGGGCAGGCACTGACTGCAGAAACACTTCTGTCTTGCAGGGCAAGCACAAGCTGCATGTGGACACGGGACTGGAGGGCTCCTGGTGTGGCCTCATCCCCATCGGGAACCCCTGCGAGAGTGTGACCACGACAGGCCTTAAGTGGAACCTCAGTAAGTGACATGCCTCTGGGACAGTGGGTTTGGTGTGGTCCTGACCCTACACTTAGAGCAGCTTCACCAGTGATGAAGGGCCTTACAAGTCTGAAGGTGAAGCATGGCATAGAATCCCTGCCAGGCCATTAAGGAAGAGAAATATGTTTAAACCTGAGATCTCACAGGCAGAAACACATTTTCCATTTGGGAGTCATTGTGCTCTTCAAGCAGAACATTTGCTGAGGTCATGATACATTACCATCTTGATACATTGCCCTCCAGGGAAAAGAAGCCAGGAGTGTCTAAACTCCTGTTTATAAGCCATAAAGTTACAAAAGACAAATACTAACGGGATACAGATTATCAAAGCTGCCTCACTTCGCCTGAACAGCTTCATGTATATTGTCTGTTTCTCAACCCTGAGTGAATAGATCCTTTTTCTTACTTTAAAGTGGAAAAGATGCCATTTGATCTAGAACCAGGGACATTTATCTGTAGAGAAAGGAGGTTTTATAACGCAAAAAATCGAAACAACTTTCATCCTCCTGCCTCTTCCTCCCACACTGAGTCATTTGGGATGTATTTACACAGGAAAGTAATGGGATATTTTCAATGAAGAATCATTAAAACTTAAGTGGGAGCAAAGCAGTAATTAAGAGGCTCTAGTCTCAGTCTGATTGACATGTCCAGGCTTTAGAGCCATTCCATGCATAAAGGGCATGCTGTTCTCACAGTTTGCAGTGCAGCGCCTTCACTGGCTAAGAATTAATGTGAGTGACCCACCATGCAGCCAGCAGAACATCTGCTGGTTCCACTGAGAGCTTGAGCACGTGCATTTAAGGTGGTGGTAGGCATTAGTAGCTCATTAATGATAAAATATATAAATATGGCATTAGTTTTGGATTGTGGGAGAATTGCCAGATGAACAGCTGTCTGGCTAGCAATATTTCTGTCCTTTTAAACTGGATTGGAAGAGCTGAATATATTGCACGAGAGACATTCCCTTAATTTGAAAAAGAGATATTTTCATTTGTATGTATAAATACAGTTGACATATACAATACTGAATTTTCATCTGCTCATCTCCTGTTGTCCAGCAGCAACTTCTGCGACCCATTGCACTGAGGTGCTAATTTCTCAGAAAATGTTCTGTCCTTCAGAATTAGGTGCAAGAAGCTCAAACCAACCTCATGTTAATGAAGGAAGCATCTCTGAATCCTGTGTTGTATTGCAAAAGGCTACTGTATGGATCAAAATGTTGTAGATGCAATGGGGTTGCAGCCCTTTCTTCTGATTTTTTTTAGCTGAAAGAGCCATTTTTCAGGTACAACAGAATTTTTTTTAGTTTAATTCCATAAATGTCATCAGATTTACAAGGTGCTCATTAGGAAGTTGGTAATTTTAAACATGGTCTGTCTGGTCTGTTTCTTTGTTACTACTGAATTATGGTTGCCTGGTCTGCTAAAGAGAAAGGGATTGCAAGTCAGCTGTGCCAGCTGGAGGAGGATGCAGGGGGGAGATGAAACAGCAGCAAATATTTTTTCTCTCTAAGGTTGGGTTAAGACATCAGTTTCTTAAATTTTGGTCATAACTAGATATGGGCCTACAGGGATTTTAATACTCTTAATTTCTTTTTTTTTTTCTTTTTCTGGGGGACAAAAAAGTATTTATGGGACTGTTTCCTGCTTGTTTCATCTTAAGACAACACCATCATCTCTGCTTCTCCCTGCCCTTGTTGCGTTATTTTCCAGGAGGAAAGAGAGCAGACCTTTACAGTGGTTTTTTTTGTGATGTATATATTACATCCTGTTACAGGCTGTTTTCAGTCTCAATACTCATGTTTCTCCCAGGCTGTAGCTCTTTCATTTATTTCTCCATATTAATCACAAATATATATGTAAAACTAAAAAATGATCTGGTCTTCCTTGAATTGGCTCAATCTATCTCAGACATCAAGGTCATTACAACCTGAAACTGTTCTCTTGCCCAGGTGACTAGAGCTAACCTTTTCACTGATCCAAATGCAGAATAACCATTGAATTAGGTTGTTGTTCAGACACTGATTAAAAAATTGAAGTTCAATTACATTTCCCAAGAGGGAAACCAATATCTCCAATTCAGCATGTGGTTAGTTGTGTCTTGGTTGGATTTTTTCCCTAATAAATAGGATCTACATTCTGAAAGTTTGATACTAACTTCCATTGTCTTACTGCACTTTTATGCTGCCTGTAGTTTTGCACTTACTTCAAAAAAATATTAATCCTCCTGTAAATTGGGATGGAGAAGCAGAGGATCAAGTGGGGGAAATAGAATAATAGGAATGGAAACTGAAGTGTGATATGGATGTCAGCCTTGCTGCTAATGGCTGGCAATGGCAGAGCTTTACCTGTTCATTCATTAATAGCAATCTGAGCATACACACCTTTGCAAACCTTTGTGTAAATATATTGTAAACCTCAGTGAATAATTTTTTTGTGGTTATAAATTCATTTTCATGTGTAAATCATAAAAGGAATGGAATTTTTAAGCAGAGCGTGACATGAAATGCCTATTCCTCCAGTTTGTTATGGAATTAATTGGATGTGACTTAACAAGTTGGGTTTTAAAAAGTAATTTTTGAGCTCTCAGTATGTTTATGTATCTAGGCAGTAAACTAATTTCAGAATTTTAGTTCAAACAGTGATGCATTAGGTGGTAGGTGAGCCCTCATTTTTGTGAGCAGTAATTTCCAGCAAATCAAAATTCAAATAACACTGCAGTACAAGAAAGAGCTGGCTTTGTATCAAGGTTTTTGATGTTTAACACGAATTTCTGCCTGAGCATATCTAGATTACTCTGCCAATTAAAATTTGTAAAACCTTCGAGAGGTAGTCAAATGTTATCTGTGTCCAGTGTACAGGTGCTGTCATGATACTTCATAGGTTCTGAATAGAAAAAGACAAAGATAAATACCTAGGACAAAAGCTGTACTGAGGTCAAGAATAAGCTACCAAAGGTCTCATTTCGATGTCTGAATTAGATAAACCTGAAATTTGTAAGTTATTCTGCCAGCAGAGAAATAATGATGTCTTTTAATATTACAGAGTTCAGTATTTTTTTATGTCTGTTTGAGAATGCAGCATGTATGCGTGCCTTTATGAGTGCTTATCTTTGTTATTTGCTAGCACTTGTCACAAACAGAATTTTCATTTATTTTAGTTCTCATCTTATGGGTGAAAGAACTTGGAGAAGAAAGTGGAAAATTGATTAGAAAAAATATTTTTATTCGTACTTGCTATTGTGTAGCACATACTCAGTACACATTATAAACATATTATTTCCATTCCCAAAGGGATACTGATCTTTTCTCTATTAAAATCTGATTTACAGCACAGGAATCAGATAATGCTTTGTCTGATTTGACTCACCTGACTGCTTGCTGATAACAACTCTTATGTCTAATAAATAAATAACAAAAAATCCAATAATGCCAGAACTACCCAGCATTCTTCATTAGGTCCTCAGTGGTGCTTTCATGGAAGGTAAATAAAAATGAAGGTAGAAATCAGCTGCAGTGCTCATCAAAGAAGAGGTTGGAGGGTAACAGTAGGCTTTTTAGGAAATGGTTCCTTTTCTGTGAAATTACTTTAGAAAATAAGCTTGCCAAGTAATTTATTCTTCCTCCCTATGGCCTTTGATATGCTGTATGTGATGTCTGTACTGAAAATACCAGCATATATGCATGTGTATGTATGTGTGTGTGTATATATATCTGTATCGATCTATCTATCTATCTAAACTCTGTGTATATGTGGTTGTGCTTTCCAGATAACTTTCATGCGAGTTTGCCTTCTTTAGGCAGGAAGTTAAATTGCTGTAAAATGCTGCCGTTCAAAAGAGTGCAACTGTCATTTCACTTCAAAAGGCAATAGCAATAACCATGGGAGCCAGACCTTTCTCTAACTGTAGCAACAGAGCATCCACTGACTACTAATGTCACAGGCAGATGAACAGGATCCCAAGTCTTTTTGATGCTGTTTACATTGTTAGTAAAATTAAAGTGTTTGTACTGTTTTACTTCATGGGGGTTTTATTGATGTTGCATTGTGAATGGAGCAAAAAGTTTACAGAAGCAGTTGTGGTTTGTGTTTTAGGAGAATTCATAGTCTAAAAAATGAAAGAAAATTAGTAACTTCTTAAAAAAAAATAGGGTCAGAGACTGTTCTGGGAAAGGTTGTAAATTAAAATGGACAGGTATCTATGCTAGTGAGGCTGTTTGTATAAGCACTTTCTAACCTGTTTCATAACTGAAATAGTTTATATACACATTTTGCTAGCCCAGTTCTGAGTGAGGCAAACTAAGTGGTGCTTCTGGGAATAGCTTTGTTTTCAGTGGCAGAGTAAATAGCTTCACAGCTGGATTCCCATTCTCCTCAGCTTTCCTCTCTTTCCCTCTCTTCTCTTGTTCTTTACTGGCAGAAGATGTATTATCAGTGATGTATTTTTTCACTTATCCATTGCAACTCTAAGACTCTGTATAAGGGTGGAGAGGACAGAAATGACGTTGCTGGTCCCAAAGAATTGGGTGGCTTTGACCTTTGGCAAGCTGTTTGCCCACAGGAGTGCTGCTGTCAGCCTTGCAGGGTCATATCATTTATTTCAAAGCTTGGCCTGCTGAAATATTTTTCCAATGAAGCAGATGTTCTGATGGTGGCAGCCTGGCATCCCACTGGCTTACTGCAAGTCAGCAAAAACAATGAGGGCCTCGCTTAGCATTGTCTAAAGTGATTTTGAGCCACAAAGACCGTTTGGTATACATTAAATGACTGATGAACACAGAGCTCAGTTGTGCTGGGCCTCTAAACATGTATTCACATTTCTGGCTGAACAGCAGCTTGAAAACTCAGTCAGACTTTGTGAAAAGGCTTGAAATGGGGATTTGAGGTCACACATGCAGTTCATTTCCACATAGTTCAATAAATGTTAGGAATTAGTGGGAGAGAGATTCAGATCCTCTTTAGCAAGGTAGCGTTCAGTTT